GATTCGGATCCCACATCTTCACCAGTCGAGAAGAAGCAACAGGAGATGCAAGGTGAGGATGAGAGCCCCAGTCGAAGAAGCAACAGCCAAGGAGATTCGGATCCCACATCTTCACCAGTCCGAGAAGAAGCAACAGGAAAGAGATTCGGATCCCACATCTTCACCAGTCCGAAGAAGCAACAGGAAAGAGATTCGGATCCACATCTTCACCAGTCCGAGAAGAAGCAACAGGAAAGAGATTCGGATCCACATCTTCACCAGTCGAGAAGAAGCAGCAAAAGGGAAAGAGATTCGGATCCCACATCTTCACCAGTCGAAGAAGCAACGAAAAGGAAGAGATTCGGATCCCACATCTTCACCAGTCGAGAAGAAGCAACAGGGAAAGAGGTCCCGGATCCCACATCTTCACCAGTCCGAAGAAGCAACAGGGAAAGATTCCGGATCCCATCACCAGTCCGAAGAAGCAACAGGGAAAGAGATTCGGATCCCACATCTTCACCAGTCGAAGAAGCAACAGGGGAAAGAGATTCGGATCCCACATCTTCACCAGTCCGAAGAAGCAACAGGGAAAGAGATTCGGATCCCACATCTTCTGCCAGTCCGAAGAAGCAACAGGAAAGAGATTCGGGATCCCACATCTTCACCAGTCGAGAAAGCAGCAGGGAAGAGATTAGGATCCCACCCTGCAAAATTGGTCTGACGTGAACAGGAAAGTGTCCCGCAAAACATGGTCTTGCAGTCTGAAGAAGCAACAGGCTCTTGGCAGAGCCATCCCACATCTTCACCAGTCCGAAGAAGCAACAAGGGAAAGAGATTCGGATCCCACATCTTCACCAGTCCGAAGAAGCAACAGGGAAAGAGATTCGGATCCCACATCTTCACCAGTCCGAAGAAGCAACAGGGAAAAGAGATTCGGATCCCACATCTTCACCTGTCGAGAAGAAGCAACAGGAAAGAGATTGGATCCACATCTTCACCAGTCCGAGAAGAAGCAACAGGGAAGAGGTCGGATCCCACATCTTCACCAGTCAGGAAGAAGCAACAGGGAAAGAAACTCGGATCCCACATCTTCACCAGTCCGAAGCAGCAACAGGGAAAGAGCGGATCCCACATCTTCACCAGTCCGAAGAAGCAACAGGGAAAGAGATTCGGATCCCACATCTTCACCAGTCAGCAAGCAACAGGGAAAGAGATTCGGATCCCACATCTTCACCAGTCCCGAGAAGAAGCAACAGGGAAAGGGTCGGATCCCACATCTTCACCAGTCGAAGAAGCAACAGGGAAAGAGATTCCGGATCCCACATCTTCACCAGTCGAACCAAAGCAGCGAAGATTTATCAATTTGGCGGTCCCTTCAGACGTCGAAGAAACAGCAGGAAAGAGATTCGGATCACATCTTCACCAGTCGAAGAAGCAACAGGAAAGAGATTCGGATCACATCTTCACCAGTCGAAGAAGCAACAGGGAAAAGAGATTCGGATCCCACATCTTCACCAGTCGAAGAAGCAACAGGGAAAGAGATTCCGGATCCCACATCTTCACCAGTCCCAAGAAGCAACAGGGAAATTCGGATCCCTGTCTTCACCAGTCCGAAGAAGCAACAGGGAAGAGATTCGGATCCCCATCTTCACCAGTCGAGGAAGAAGCAACAGGGAAAGAGATTCGGATCCCACATCTTCACCAGTCCGAAGAAGCAACAGGGAAGAGATTCGGATCCACATCATACCCAGTCCGAAGAAGCAACAGGGAAAAGAGATTCGGATCCCACATCTTCACCAGTCCGAGAAGAAGCAACAGGAAAGAGATTCGGATCACATCTTCACCAGTCCGAAGAAGCAACAGGAAAGAGACTGGATCCCACATCTTCACCAGTCCGAAGAAGCAACAGGAAGAGATTCGGATCCACATCTTCACCAGTCCGAATAAGCAACAGGGAAAGAGATTCGGATCCCACATCTTCACCAGTCCGAAGAAGCAACAGGAAAGAGATTCGGATCCCACATCTTCACCAGTCGAAGAAGCAACAGGGAAAGAGGTCGGATCCCACATCTTCACCAGTCCGAAGAAGCAACAGGAAAGAGATTCGGATCCCACATCTTCACCAGTCCGAAGAAGCAACAGGGAAAGAGATTCGGATACATCTTCACCAGTCCGAAGAAGCAACAGGGAAAGAGGGTCGGATCCACATCTTCACCAGTCGAAGAAGCAACAGGGAAGGGTCGGATCACATCTTCACCAGTCCGAGAAGAAGCAGCAGGGAAGAGATTCGGATCCCACATCTTCACCAGTCCGAAGAAGCAACAGGGAAAGAGATTCGGATCCCACATCTTCACCAGTCCGAAGAAGCAACAGGGAAAAGGGTCGGATCCCACATCTTCACCAGTCCGAAGAAGCAACAGGGAAAGGGTCGGATCCCATCTTCACCAGTCCGAAGAAGCAACAGGGAAAGGGTCGGATCACATCTTCACCAGTCCGAAGAAGCAACAGGGAGAAGGGTCGGATCCCACATCTTCACCAGTCCGAAGAAGCAACTGAGGAAAGAGATTCGGATCCACATCTTCACCAGTCCGAGAAGAAGCAGCAGGGGAAAGAGGTCCGGATCCCGTAACACCAGTCCGAAGAAGCAACAGGGAAAGAGATTCGGATCCCACATCTTCACCAGTCCGAAGAAGCAACAGGGAAAGAGATTCGGATCCCACATCTTCACCAGTCCGAAGAAGCAACAGGAAAGAGATTCGGATCCCACATCTTCACCAGTCCGAAGAAGCAACAGGGAAAGAGATTCGGATCCCACATCTTCACCAGTCCGAAGAAGCAACAGGGAAAGAGATTCGGATCCCACATCTTCACCAGTCCGAAGAAGCAACAGGGAAAGAGATTCGGATCCCACATCTTCACCAGTCCGAGAAGAAGCAACAGGGAAAGAGATTCGGATCCCACATCTTCACCAGTCCGGAGAAGCAACAGGGAAAGAGAGATTCGGATCCCACATCTTCACCAGTCCGAAGAAGCAACAGGGAAAGAGATTCGGATCCCACATCTACCAGTCGAAGAAGCAACAGGAAAAGATCACATCTTCACCAGTCGAAGAAGCAACAGGGATGGGGTCGGATCCCACATCTTCACCAGTCTGAAGAAGCAACAGGGAAAGAGATTCGGATCCCACATCTTCTTGATTCGGATCCCACATCTTCACCAGTCCGAAGAAGCAACAGGGAAAGAGATTCGGATCCACATCTTCACCAGTCGAAGAAGCAACAGGGGAAAGAGATTAGGATCCCACATCTTCACCAGTCGAGAAGAAGCAACAGGGAAAGAGATTCGGATCCCACATCTTCACCAGTCCGAAGAAGCAACAGGGAAAGAGATTCGGATCCCACATCTTCACCAGTCCGAAGAAGAAGCAACAGGGAAAGAGATTAGGATCCACATCTTCAGTCGAAGAAGCAACAGGGAAAAGAGATTCGGATCCCACATCTTCACCAGTCCGAAGAAGCAACAGGGAAAGAGATTCGGATCCCACATCTTCACCAGTCCGAAGAAGCAACAGGGAAAGAGATTCGGATCCCACATCTTCACCAGTCCGAAGAAGCAACAGGGAAAGAGATTCGGATCCCACATCTTCACCAGTCCGAAGAAGCAACAGGGAAAGAGATTCGGATCCCACATCTTCACCAGTCCGAAGAAGCAACAGGGAAAGAGATTCGGATCCCACATCTTCACCAGTCCGAAGAAGCAACAGGGAAAGAGATTCGGATCCACATCTTCACCAGTCCGAAGAAGCAACAGGAAAGAGATTCGGATCCCACATCTTCACCAGTCCGAAGAAGCAACAGGGAAAGAGATTCGGATCCCACATCTTCACCAGTCCGAAGAAGCAACAGGGAAAGAGATTCGGATCCCATCTTCACCAGTCCGAAGAAGCAACAGGGAAAGAGATTCGGATCCCACATCTTCACCAGTCCGAAGAAGCAACAGGGAAAGAGATCGGATCCCACATCTTCACCAGTCCGAAGAAGCAACAGGGAAAGAGATTCGGATCCACATCTTCACCAGTCCGAAGAAGCAACAGGGAAAGATTCGGATCCCACATCTTCACCAGTCCGAAGAAGCAACAGGGAAAGAGATTCGGATCCCACATCTTCACCAGTCCGAAGAAGCAACAGGGAAAGAGATTCGGATCCCACATCTTCACCAGTCCGAAGAAGCAACAGGGAAAGAGATTCGGATCCCACATCTTCACCAGTCCGAAGAAGCAACAGGGAAAGAGATTCGGATCCCACATCTTCACCAGTCCGAAGAAGCAACAGGGAAAGAGATTCGGATCCCACATCTTCACCAGTCCGAAGAAGCAACAGGGAAAGAGATTCGGATCCCACATCTTCACCAGTCCGAAGAAGCAACAGGGAAAGAGATTCGGATCCCACATCTTCACCAGTCCGAAGAAGCAACAGGCCTGGAGCCTCCATTGCTACCTTAATTTTTGCTACGAAATATTTTTGCTCGTGACACGTTCTTCTCAAAAAAACGCTCGTTTTAACAGAAAGTGCTCGAGACATCCGCGCAAATGCAATTTGCTACCTGCGATTCGTAGCATTTTTTGAATTTGCGCTCGTTTGCGCTTTTTTGCGCCGATTTGCGCTCGTTTTGCACTTTTTTTGCACATGTTTGTGCCCGTTTTGGCGGCAACTTGACCCTGGGGATCAAGAAAACACGGCCGAATGGGATTTCTGCCCGAATCGTCAAAAAGCGCTCGGAAGCGAATGGGAGGCAAAAAGTGCTACGTCGAGTCAATTTTGGTATCGAACAAGGGGGGAGGCAGAAATTTATGCTACGATGGAGGTTCCAGGGGGAAAGAGATTCGGATCCCACATCTTCACCAGTCCGAAGAAGCAACAGGGAAAGAGATTCGGATCCCACATCTTCACCAGTCCGAAGAAGCAACAGGGAAAGAGATTCGGATCCCACATCTTCACTGGTAAGACATCTTCCCCCGTCGCTCAGTGCCTCATCTGCCAATCCTCGAGCTTCTGCTCCCGAGCCTTTCGCTTCTCCTTCTTTATGGCCTGTCGCGAGCGCTTCGCGCTGAGCGAGTGCCGCGGCCGCCCTGGGGGACGGTGTCAAACAGGAATCGGAATTGGAACGTGTGAAATCAGCGCGCAGGAATCGGAACATACAAAATGTCCATCCCTCATGGCTGTCGTAAGACACAAACCGCAATTCTGGGGTAGCTAGCACCCGGGAATCAGCACAAAAGCAACCAGTTTGGAAGGGCCCCTGCTGCTGGCGGCGCTGTGATACCTGTATATACCAAGAACACATATCTTTTGTGGAATGTGCACAGCAAGAAGGATGCACCAAGCTTGGTGTCCAAACTGTGAAGCCTATTTTATGTTGTTAATGATGGTTTGGCACTAGTGACGTTAGTCCATGCCCTGACTGCAGGCTGCCTCACGCAGCATGTCACAATGTTTCGCTGCATTTGCATTGCCGTCATCACCAACTCTGGAATTTGACAGCGACGGTCAATTCACAGGATGCTACCTTCAGGCACGTTCACAATGGGTGCATGTCGAATCAACCAAATCCACCCACATTGTCCGCGAATCTACAAGATGATATTGTCCCAGCCACCAAGAAAAACGAGGTTTTCAATGTGTCGGATGAGCAATTCCTTTCACATGCATAGGAGGCGGGTTTGACATCAAAGGCACAAAAACACCATCATGGAAAACGGCTGATGGAATTGCCTCTCGGGAAGACCAACCTGACGTCTGCGGACATCACAATGAAGCCACTATGCGGTTGGTTCGGAACAAAGGAAACCTTGAAATCTGCTTGCATAAACTTCGGGGACGAAGCGTCCGCTCTGATTATTGGAACTGCTAATAGTCTGTCGAGCGCGTTCGCGCCTCCTCTCGCCTCTCCTGCGAGCCATCTCTGAAGTAGTCTCCAGGCATCTGCGGGGTGCGGAAGTCATATGGCCATGGGTCAAAACCCCCCCCAGTGAACATCCCAATCCCCACTAAAATAGAATAAAATAGGTGGTGCACCTATCCCAAAATGGTCCCATTGGTTTTGAACCATGGCCATATGCAAGGGGCGCACTGTATGGCAAGCGACCAAACACTCACAAACTGCCAATCAATAATCCCCAACATCCAAAAAAGCAGCTCTGGAGGTCGCATCCATGGATTGTCGGAGAGCCTACATGCCCGAAGCAAACGCAGGAGATCCCAACATGCATTCTTTCGTGAATGAGCGATGGTTAAAATACATTTCCCGAGTAAAGTCCTGATGGGAGTGCCGTGTTTGCCTGCAGAGTGCAACAAGCTCGGGGCCGAGAAGGCTCTTGGTCAGGGCCACTTCCTTTGGCACAACCGCCAGCCTACCCGCTTTACGTGACCGGTCTGCCATACGTGGCATCTTCCCCAATTCGCTGGATTCACGATTGGGGCGGTCATGCTCCTCCTGACTCAAAGCATCCGTCAAACAGGTGAGTAAACTAAGTGTGCATGGTTCCAATCAACTGCAAAAGCAGATGCACAGATTCAGCCACCAGTGGAACAGCTTGCATGTCGTCCAGTAGCTGCTGCCCCTTCAGCATCCGCGATATTCACACCTAGCCCTGGCGAACCAGTTGCAGGTAGAGCGTTTCCGAACACATTTGGTCCCGATTTGGAGTCCCAATTCCATGCTCAACGTTGGTGCCTGTACCTGCGCAAGCAGGGCACAGCCGGACCGCAAAGGAGCCTAACCCTACAGCTTGTCGATTCGCCGCTGCTTTACGATTTGAGTGTGGGCTCTATGTTGGCATTTTTTGGTGGACATGGTTTAGGCCGGGAGTTGTGTCCACCAAACGTCTGAAAGGGGACTCCTCATTAGATTTTATGGCCATTTCGGATCAAGTGCCAAGTCATTCCTTCTCGGTTGAAGGCCAGGAGGTCCCTTCAAGATTCCTTCAACCCGCCACCAACGGATTGCCAGCAACGAGCTTCGGTCGCGCCCTTTTGTCGTTTTGGGGCGCTTCTGGCAGCGTGGCTGCGATCCCCAGCGTCGCCAGGCCGGCCCTCGGCGCGTCAAAAGGGAAGCCACAATGAAACAAAACATCCAGAGTCACATCGCTCAATGCCAAGGGTGACAGTATGCAAGAACTCCAACCCATCAGCACTCGTTCACAATAGCTCCGGCAACTTAGCAGCGTTTGTGTTTTGCTTGTGTGTTCTTTCTCCCTCTCTCTCTTGCTCTCTCTCTTGCTCTCTCTCCCTCTCTCTCGCTCTCTCTTTCTCTTCTCACTCTGTCTCTCCCGCTTTCTCTCTCTCTCTCTCTGTCTCTCTCTCTCTCTCTCTCTCCCTCCCTCTTTCTCCCTCTTTCTTTCTCTCTTTCTTTCTCGGTGCTGATGAACACAGCAGCAGCACAGCAAGATATACGTCCGAATGCCAACACTTGATGCACTCGTGAACACCAAACCCCGTGGCGCTTTGGACAAACGTGGCCAGTCCTTCATGCCGCGCATGGCTGGATGCCCTGATGGCATGCAGCCAAGCTCGGAATTGCCAGCTTCAAGGGAGAGCCCCATTCATTCCAAGCGACCTCGGAGGAGCCCCGAGTTGATGAATAGATGTAAGTGCTTCTTTTACACTAGTCTTGCTTGAAGTTGAGAATGAGTGGAGACTTGTGCTAAGAATGCTTGGAATGTGAATGGTAGTCAGATCAAGCCACTTGCTCCACGAGCCAATCTTGGAGCCAATCAGTTCATCCTCTCAATTTCTCCACAACGGGGGAATGTACTTGAACGAGATGAAGTCCAGGAACATGCAGAAACTCTAGGAAACTGAGTGGGACTCTCCGAACAAAACGTCAATCCTTCTAAGAATTTCCGCAAGAATCAATTGGCTCTTTCCCATCTGCACCATAAAACTGTCGCTAGGCCCACAGCCACCAAAGTAGAAAAGTATCGATTCCATAACACCCGCGCACAAAGGTAAAACCTTCTGTGTTGCCTTAACTTAGTGATAGATTAAAGGGACACCAAAAGGGCTACCAATCACTTTTGGAGGTCGCCGAAGTTTTGCTGCCCTTTTCTCGTTGTTTGCCCTTTGCTGCTTACTGTTCTCTGTTGTTTGCGGGAGAGAAACCCGATTGTGGGGTCGGGTCCACATGACCCCCAACACATCCCAACCTGGGCCCCGTGCTCCATCTCTGCAGAATGAGTCGACCAGTCCTAGCCGGATGGCATGCGATGGACTGGGGGCTTTTGGTCGTGTGGGCCACTTCAGGGCCACTTCACTCCAGGGACACAACTGCCCCCTCCCTAAGGCCTTTTTGGCCATGATGTGGACTTCATTCGCAAGGATTTTGTAGCCCTTGCCGCGTCCTTGGCGGGTTTGGTTTGAGTCCCTGGCCTATGTCCCGCATTGCACTGCCGCTCCTCTGCATCGAGCCGCCCGCCCAAGCTCCGCCGCCGGAGATCGTCGCACTTCTGGGCCAGGCGCTGCAGTTCTTCGGGCGGCTCGGGCGGCCTAGCGGAGCGGACGCATCCAGGGTGAAAGGTGGGGTGCATGGACTTCAAGGCCTTTGTAGCGCAGGAGATGTTCAAGCTCCCATTTTGTCTTGGAGACAGCAAGTTGGAGGTTTCTTAGATGGACATTGCTATATGTCAAATCCTGGAAATGACCCTCCAAGTGGTGTTTCGCTTCGTAGTCAACCAATATAGAGGTCCCTGGGGCCAACCAACTGGTTCTGACGTAAAACAAGCACGAATCATTCTATGATACATTTCCCACTGAGTGGACTAGCTCCAAACAGTCCATTTTGCTTTCCTCTAAAACTATCTTCCAAGGCACCGAGTCCAGAACCCGAAGACGTGAGCCCAATTGGGATCCATGACTGGCAACGATAGCGCCTGGTGGGGCCGAGCGAGACACGGCGGCAAATGGCCATCCAGTCCGTGAGCGCCTGGCAAAACGTTCCTTCGAACAAGGCGCTCCTTTTCACCGAGTGTCTTGAACGACCCGGGCAAACAGCCACATGTTTGACGAGTTTCTCCAAGTGTTGGATATTGGTACTCGTGACGACCCACTAGGGGATCACCTTTTCTGGTTGGCCCTTGTCGACGTAGCGAACTGCTATGGTGCAAGATTTGAGGTGTTGACTTCCTGTCAGTGTACACAAGAACGGCAGTCTTACTTCTGACACAAGGGGCAGGGTTGGTCCGACTTGATTGAACATTGTTCAGCCATTATAATGTTCAAGCAACTTCCTTTTATACAGTCTTCCTTTGAGCCGAGCCAGGGCAGTTGGCTGTGGAAACGGATCTCACAACCAACCCTGACACGGTGGGTCCCCCGCTAATATATATATATATAGAAGCCCACAAACAACCACTTCAAGAGCAATCTCCCGTTCTTTTTGGAGCGCTGAGCTCCATGTTACTTTGCAGGAGAGTGTTCAGCTGAGAGAGCAGGAGAGTGTTCAGCTGAGAGAGACTGGTTCATCCGATTTCCACCTCTAAGAACTCCGCCAATTAGGTCCCACCACGGTAAGCCGCAACAAAAACAAACCACCCAATGCGCTTTCTCCACTTACGAACTCCCAGCTTCAGTTGGCCGACATTGCCTTGTGTGAGCACAAACCAGGATTTCTCACAAAGGCTTTTGGCTTTGTCTCAAGATGGGGGGGCCTCCCAAAATCGGTGGTGTCCTTTTGGCCTTCCCTTTAAAGCACCCCCAAAAAAACACGGGAACCCCTCCCAAAAAAGGGACGCACCCGCGCCGGCCAATCCCGGCCACGAGCGCATGACGCGCGAAAAAGGCGCCTGGTGGCCGAGCCCAAACTCCGGGACCGCCGTCAGCTGGGTGTCGTAGTGCCCACTGGCCGAGCAGTCGGAACTTTCGGTGGTTGGCCCCCTGCGTGGTAAACCCAACCGCAAAAAAACAACAACAAAAAACGGAAAAAAATCCGGGGACAGGCTAGAATATATGATTGCAAGTCCAGGTGGTTCAATAGATGTTCTTGGTTCCAGGGAAACTCCTGCGTCCTTGCAATAATATCTATTGAACCAACTGCACCCTTTGCCAACTTGGAACCTGAGAACACCCTGTCAGACACATCCCGGCCGCCTGCGGCGCCCTGATTCTGTCACCAAACATGTGAAGCCCTGACGGGCTGTAATTCTGAAAAGACTTGAAAAGGAAGCCAAAGGAAACTAATCATCTTGAACACCGTCAATATGATTTGGGGTCACAATCTTGAAATTCACCCTGCAAAGGTTAGAACAATTACAAGACTTTCTTGAACACCGTCAACATGAATTTGGGGTCACAATCTTGAAATTCACCCTGCAATGGTTAGAACAATTACAAGACTTTCAAGACACAAGCACGCGCCAAACAAACAAAGGATAGAGCATGGGCGCCATCGGAATATCAGTCTATGAGCTGTGCTTGGACAGGGCAAGTATCAGGGGAATTGTTTGATCGAGTAGCAACGCTTACCTACAAAGTGTCGAAGCGCTTGGAATCATGCGCTCCACGGGCAAACCCCCGAGCTAAACAGGAAGGTGGACGAAGGATGTTTTGTCTGGCAACTGACATCAACCTCAAAACCTGGCCCCTGCACATACTTGCTGGCACAGCGGTTGCGGGCTAGCAAAGTGAAGTGGAGGGTATTGAACCGATAAACCGAGCCAACGGTGCCTACTGAACCCCCGACGTGCCAATGCTAAAAACTTGAGACTTCACTGTATTTGTCGGAGATCAGAGTGTGAACCAAAGTGTTCGCTGTATGTCAAAAGGGACCCATGTTCCAACTTGGGTAGCAACTTGTGTATGCTGGCAGTTGACTCACTTGTCCCGCCTACTGACCATTTATTGCCAAAGCCGGCCAATGCTTTGGGGGGGGGACAATTAAACATCGGGCTTCGTTCAAATGATGCCAAATCTCGCACTTCCTTGGACTAAATCAACTCGCCCTTTGTGGCGCCAACTCCAGGCCAAGATGTTTGATCCACTTTGCGCAAGCTACCTTGCTCTGAGTGTCAGTCGTGGCTCGAGCGGCCACTTGGCAAAAGCATCCAACCCAATAACCCAACCCCCACAAGATGAGCGAGCTGCACCACCTGCACGGCCTTCAAAGGCAGCCATGAGCTCCTAAGCTCCTCTGATCCGTTTTCGATACGGCCACAGCCAGCGCGAACCAGCCAAGAACATCTTCCGCTCCCTCCCCAAAAGGATACTCACTGGCTCAGTGGATGGCCCAAAAAACGTCCGAATTATATATATTTACCACTAAAATTGTCTTCCCAAAAAGTTTAAAGTTCATGAACTCAGGAAGTAAGGTTTTCTATTTGGGTGCTTCAGCCCCTGGTTATGAGGAAATTCGGTGGGCCATCCCAGGCCCGCCACAAATCAACCATCTGTTGCCACGAACACCGTCTGTTGCTCAAACTCACCGGACCCTGTCGACACCAAATAAAGAAGCCACCTCTTTTGAACGGCCTCAGTGCCATCTCACTGCGGATGAAGTGCCCAAGCCCTTAGACAGAAACGCCCGAAAGAAGAGGCTTGCATCATAACCTTTCTAAAACGCCCCAAAGAAGCCTTGCCACCCTTCTGATCAGAAATCTACAAACCTCGAGCACATGTGCAAAGCTGCAAAGTGTCCACCCCTTCCAATCCTCCCTATCTCGAGCCTTCGGCAGACCCGCCACAGGAAGTACGGCGCCCCGGGTTTCAGAACGTTGTCCGCCACCACGTAGGCACCCTCCTTAAAGAGGCCCAGCTCCTGCACAGGAGAGTCAGGGTGTACCAGTGGTAAAACCAGGGTTCACACAGCAAAGGACGACCGGCTCCCAGGGCAAAGACACCCTTGCAGAACTTCTGGTTGTAGGGAATATGGCTCAATGACCTTTTCCAACCGCAATGGAGGACCATGTCGCAAATGGTTCGTGGGGCTGCATGCAAGTATGTTGTACCACTACCACACTATGTTTTGCAATAACTTTAGACATCGCATTGCTTGAAGTTGGATGGCTGCGATTCCTTCCAGGTTGCACTTTCTTCTCTGGTAACTCTGAACCCATCCTGCGGAAAGCTTGTCAGATTCCGCATCCAACAACCAATCCCAGAACTTTCCACTCCACTCGGCAAGCGAGAGCCCACTTTCCATTGGGAAAGTCAAACCTAATATAAACATAGAAATCTCGGAAGCTCCCTTTCTTTTCAGATCGTCTTGTGGGTTTGTGCACCATGCTCGGCTGCACCAAGCCATGGGAAAAAAACACAAAAACGCGTGCTTGGCCCAAGAGGTGTCGAGCGAGTTTATCCTCGAAGGCCGCCAGGTCTTCGTGGAAAAGGCTGCCCCGGTGGTCCATGAAGAGCATGGCCTCAAAGGAGCACTTGGTGGCATATGTCTGCATGTATGTATGCATGTGTATATATATATATATACATATAAATCTGTAATGTTATCCAATTAAATGCTTGTTTCATGCCACTTTCCCGGTCACCCGCAAAACAAACAAAACGTCGCTGGTTTCATTCCCAGCTGTGCTGCATCCGAGTCGTTTTGTGCATCTCATTTGCATCCTCCAACATCTTACGCCTCTTGCTGGGAGATGCGGATGCCAACTTGGGATCCTGGCCACCGAGCGCTCACCAAAGCGCTGCAGCACATGGTGCGCCACATCGTTGCTGTTGGCCAGCCAAACCTGGCACCGTCAATTGACTAACTTGCTGGTGCGATAAGTAGGGAATGCGGGAATGAACCCAGGCTTTGGTCCCTTTAAAGGAAACCACAAGGGATGAATTACAGAGGAATTTCCTCATTCTTGCTGAGCATCAGCAAGCTAAAGCTTCATTGACCCGCTTGAGAGCCCGCATGCCAGATCCGTGCTTGTGCATCTGCGCGCCTTTTTCTCCCCCAATTCACAACAATCTTCCAGTGCCACCACTGGGTAGCCATGCATGCTCGAACGGGAGCGACGAAGGAGCAGGCTGCAAATGCGGAACCAAACATCATCTTCTCGCAGCTGCCTGTGACTTTACTGTGCACTGGAAGAATCAGATGAAAGTAACAGCGCATCGCTCTTAAATGGGCCCTCTCTGGCTACTTCGTCGTTCAAGACGAAGACCTCCGCTCTAAACCCCCCTTCCATCAGGGGTCATGATTTACCAGTGTCAAAACAAGTTTCTGATTGCTGCTAAACGGGGAAGGGGCGCCACAAGTAAATTTGTCGTCTACAAAGCATTAGAACGATTCAGAATACCTGGAAGGGCACAAGACCCCAGGTACATTGGAGAGAGCCCCAGAAGCATTCGAAACTGGCAACGCATCTGAACCAATTACTATCATGTTTCTCCAACCTGCATCAAGAGATTCTACAAATCAGGGAGTCAATAAGCAGGGGATCAAGGTGAGCTCGCTATAACTCTTGCAACCCGCCGCGCGCCGAGCCCGCCGCCCCCCGCCCGCTGTTCGGCATCCCACGCGGCTGACGCGCGCGGTCACTGCAGGATCCGTTCCGCGGCAGCGCCCAGCCGCGCCGGCGCCAAGCCGACCCGAGAGGAGCCCTCAAGAGACGTGCGCTCTTGGCCAAAGGGAAATCGTCCAAGGGGTCACAGGGGCTTCCCTCTCGTCTGTTGACCGCCTTGGTTGAAAAGAAAAGGATTTTTGAAAAAGAGGGGTACACTGGAGGGGCTCCAACTGAACTGGATGTTCAAGGATCAAGGGAGGTCAAAAGGCAACCCCTGACCTCTCGCCTGCTCGCTCTTCAGGGAAGAGAGACTCACTCTCCGGGTCATCTTCGTCCATTTTGGGCACCACAAAAACACCAATGGCCGGTGGCGCCCATGTACTTTTCGAACCAACAGGGAAGACAAAAGCGACCGCCTTCAGCAAATGGAATCATTGTTTCCGCAGCTCAATGACCAAGCCCCAGGCTGACGACCGTAGTAATGCACTCTGAATCAGCCTGAATGTTGCTGAACCATTTCATCCTTATAGAGTGGAATCTAGTTGGTGTATCCCCTGTAGGGAGCCCCGCTTAAATTGGGGAAGAACCTTAGGGTTGAGCTTGCGGTTGTCTCAGTGCTGCTTGTTCGAGTGTCTAAATTGGTGTTGGTGTGGTGTGGTTTCCATGATCAAATGTTTGTGTGGAGTGATGGTTTGCTTGATTGCTCTTGTTTGTGTGACTGCTTGCATGCCTGATCCTGTCGCAATCATTTCTGCCTGAGTCATGGATATTTTCCGCGTTGACAGGAAGCTCGCATCTTGCGGAAAAATCAAACTACTGAAGCACAATGGAAACTAAGTCCACCTTCTTTGGCAGCCCGTGTGAGCTAGAACAGTTCAAATCCAAGTCCTGAGTACAAGCTCTTCACTTCCAACAAACATGGGTGTCGCAAAATGGGGAGCTCGTGGAGATGGTCTTACATCCGGAAAGGAACATAAAGCCAACTATTTGGAGGGGTCCCCATCTGTGACATGCTCCCAAGTGGAAGCTGCAGTTGGGTTCTTGGGACCTCCTGGGTTTTGTGGTCGGAATTTGAGGCGCGGACCGATGTCCTCAGAGCATGTGTCATGTGTTTCTGTCGGATATCGGCCTCCGATCCCCTCTGGTAGATGGAGAAGTAGTGGCGCATGAAGACCTCCCCAAGGATCATGAAGGGCTTTTCCTGGCGAAATGCTGGTACATACCTTCAAATCCTCACTGACACCTGGTACTTTCCCCAAAAATAGCACCCCGGCCCAGCCAGTGATTGCGTGGCTGCCTGCAGTGGCCAACCCCGGCCCTCACATGAAAAGGGTAATTCTCTGGCCGCCGATTATCAAGGACTGCCAATTTGCGTGGGAAATTCGGTTCCACACCAAAAAAAACTTAAGGGTGAGGCAGCTTGATGCGCCTGCTGAAAGGGGTTTGGGGTCATCTAAGCAGGAATGAGTCTTGGCCGCCAAGAGGAAAGGGCTTGAACTGGTTTTTTGGGAATATTAACTATGAAACCGCCTCTTCTGTACGAGCAAAATGCGTTGTTCTGGAGCCCAAATTCTGTTCGCATTTTGGCTAGATTGGGCTTGCAATTGCGAGTTTTCACAAAGAAAGCAGTGACCTGCAACAAATTCTGCATGGGCACATTTTTGGGGGTTTTGGCCACACACCGTCACACACTCTAGAATACAGAGCAGAACGTTTTTTTCTTAGTAGGCATTTCTCAGTGGCCGTGAGCCAACTCCGAACAAGCTCCGAACAAACTCCGAACGAACTCCGAACAAACTCCGAGCAAACTCCGGACAATCTCCGAACGAACTCCGGGCGAACTCGGAACAAACTCCGAACAAGCGAACAAGCTCCGAGCGAACTTTGGCATTTGTTGATTTCCGAACAAACCCCCGAGCCAACTCCGAACACACTTTGGTCAAACTGCTTTTTTTCGAGCTTACCAAAAGAGGTAAAGTGATTACAGGGGCCAGTTTCAACAAGTGGCCTGGGAAGGCGTTTTTGGAGGCAAACAAACATGTTCTCAGGCCACGTGTTGAAATTAGTTCTTTTGGTCACTTGATTTTCCTGTTATGCATTTTCCGGGCTGGATTTACTTCCCGGACAAGCGCCAAACAATTTTTGGCCATATTTTTCTTTGGGGTGCTGATTTTTGTGTTTTGGCCTTAAGTTTTAGTTTTTCGGCTTTGTTTTGTCTTTTTGCTCGTGTTTTTTTTTCCAGGCTGTGATTTGTGCTTGATTTTTTTTTCGGGGCTTAATTCTTGCCCCGAACGAACTCCGAACGAACTCCGAACGAACTTTGGCCTTAAGTTTGTTTTTGGAGCTTATTTGTTTTTTGGTGTTGAACTTTTCGGGATTTGGTCTGGGGAGCTGTTTTATTTTGTTTTTGCCTTAAGTTTTTGTTTTTCAGCTTTGTTTTGTTTTTTTTTGCTTGTTTTTGCTTTCAGGCTATGATTTGTGCTTAGTTTTTTTTTGGGGGGGGCGGGGGGCATAATTCTTGCCCCGAACGAACTCCGAACGAACTCCGAACGAACTTTGGCCTTAAGTTTTTTTTTGGCCTTAAGTTTTTTTTTGGTGTTGAACTTTTCGGGTTTTGGTCGTACAAAAACACTGGAATTACAGCTTGTTCACGCGTTTTGTCTACAAATTCAGTGTTACCAAGGTAAAAAAAACCTTGAAAAATGCTTAATCCAGGTTGTTCAGGCAAAAAAACAGCTATTTCATACGACCAAAATCGGGCAAAACCTTAAGTTCAACACCGGTGTTGAACTTAAGCTTTTTGTTTTTGGAATAAGGTTTTTTTTCCGGATTAAGCCTTGGTCAAGCAGATTAAACTTTGTTTCAGCTTCAACAGCGAGCCTCAGCGCCAACAAGCTTTTTTTTTTGGAATAAGGTTTTTTTTTCGGATTAAGCCTTGGTCAAGCAGATTAAACTTTGTTTCAGCTTCAACAGCGAGCCTCAGCGCCAACCAAGCTGCGAGATCACCCCGGTAGCGATTTTAGCCCTCCGCAGCTCTCAAGTCCTACAAATCCAGCCCTGAACGCCTTCCCAGGCCACTTGTTGAAACTGGCCCCTGTAATCACTTGGCAACTTTTGGTAATCCCGAAAAAAGCCAAAAAACAGTTTAAACCACCAAAATACTTTTGCTCAAACACGTACTTATGGCCAAAGTGTGTTCGGAGTTGGCTCGGGGGTTTGTTCGGAAATCAACCAATGACAAAGTTCGCTCGGAGCTTGTTCGCTTGTTCGGAGTTTGTTCCGAGCTCGCCCGGAGTTCGTTCGGAGTTCGTTCGGAGTTTGTCCGGAGTTTGCTCGGAGTTTGTTCGGAGTTCGTTCGGAGTTCGTTCGGAGTTCGGAGTTCGTTCGGAGTTTGTTCGGAGTTGGTTCGCGGGGAACCTGGGGCCTCTGAGAAACGCCTACCAAGAAAAACAGTTCTGCTCCGTTTTATCTAGTGTGTGGCCAAAACCCAAACAATGTGTCCATGCAGGATTTGTTGCAGGTCACTGCTTTCTTTGTGAACACTTGCAATTGCAAGCCCAATCTAGCCAAAATGCGAGCAGAATTTGGGCTCAAGAACAACGCATTTTGCTCGTACAGAAGAGGCGGTTTCATAGTTAAGTTATTCCCCAAAAGCAGTTCAAGCCCTTTCCTCTTGGCGGCCAAGACTCATTTCTGTTTAGATGACCCCAAACCCCTTTCAGCAGGCGCGTCAAGCTGTCTTACCCCTAAGGCTTAGCGCGCAGAAACGGCGGGGTCCGCTGGGAAACAAGCAAATTGATTCTTGTTTCGAGGAAACTGGCATCAATAGTACACTTTGAGGTTTGCTGCAAAATCCCTGTTTTTGTTTTTTAAGTTTTGTCAAACCCTTAAGTTTGAGTAAAAAACCATTATTCGTTTTTAGGACCTTAAAACACATAAATCCCGAACGAACTGACCTGACCCATGAAATTTGGCATCAAGGACCATTTGGGGGGTCTATAAGGGGCCATCTGTAGCCCTAGATAAGCCTGGCTTATCATCTTCTCACTAGGTGAGCCGACTCTCAAACCCACTCCGATTAACTCACCCTGAAGCCCCAAACTAAACAGCACATCCAGCTTCGACCCAACCAGTGCCCTGGCTAAACCTATCCTGAAAGACCGAACCAAAATATTTTGCCTCATGATAGTGAGGTGTGTACTGCATAAATGCGTTGTTTGATCTCGCGAAATCCTGCTAAAACGGTTCTATAGTTGAGTCCAGGGGCACAGTTTGGGTGGGGTTGTGGCTGGCGTGGTGCGGCTTGGTGCGGGTGTAAGGCTAGTTTAGGGTGGTTCGAGGGTTCAGTTGGGATAGGTAGGGTCGGTTTAGCCTGGGAACAGCATGGGTGTAGGGTGGGTGTAAGTTGGGTATGCGGTAGTTTAGATTTAGCGTGGGCTCAGGCTCTGCAGCTTTCGGTTGCGCTTTGGTTGGCTGGGTTGCTGTAGCGCAGATCCAGCTTTGGCGTGGGCTGGAATTGTGATGGATGTAACATGGGTTCAAACCAGGCTTAGCGCCGGTTCATTCTGCGTTGTCGGTGGCTTGCTTGAGTTCAGGGTCGGTTCGGAGTGGGTTTCGGCCATGGGCTTGGTTCAGGAATCGTTGATTCAAAGCACTCCCTTGCTTTCACACTGCCTCCCCTGCAAAGCAATGACACCCCAAAAGAAGCCCCGTAAATCATTATTTTCATTGGTTCCTTTGTCCTATTTTCAGAGTAAACCCTGCAGCCAGTACTGGAGCCAACCGGCTCCTGGTACCCCTGGCCCATGCTCATGACCCCAGGGACGCAGCGCTCCGTTCCATAGTCCCGGGTCATGTACATCCTTACTGTCCCAGCGGCTTTCCCATGGCAGAAAAGGACACCCTGATTTGATAGGACTTTTGGTGCTCTGTTATTGTGGGTTGATACTTTTTTTTTGGGTCAAAATCCCGTGCTCCCAGTGAACATCCCAATGCCAATCCCCACTAAAATAGACTAAAATGGCTGGTGCACCTACCCCAACATACCATTGGCTTTGACCCACAGCCAACTCACCAAGAAATATAGAAGTAGCAACAGGGTGGAATCCACTCGGCTGGGAATCTGGGGCGGCACCACGAGGTCGTAGGTCTGACTCCGGTTGGAGAGGTTAGTGCCCACCTGAGTGAGGTCTGCCGGTCCCAAGAGCCATTGACGTTTGGTTCACAATCCATTGATTCAAGAGCTTGAAACGTGGGCCTTATGATCTCCACGAACCCCTGACAAAATTAGCCCAACAGCAATCGGTTTGGGACGCCCTCCTGAGAATTTGCCATGCGTCCCCCTGCAAAACGAAAAGACGTAGGCTTTGCCGGCGCACTAGGTTTGCGAATGAAAAGACAGGGCCAAGCCAAACAGCCGCCTGCGCAATGGTCAACACCATCGGAACATCTACGTTCCAAAACCTGATTAAATATGAGCCACCTGGTGCAAAGACCATGGCGCACCTGAGAGATTGAGGCAACCCCATCCGATACTGAAAGAAAACATGGGGCTTTCCGGGGCCGCCGCAGTTGCACCGCACGAAATGGAGGGGGAGAAGGGGTCCATATGGCAGTCGTTGAAAGGAGGACTCTAACCCGCGACTCAAACCAAACCTGGAGCAAACAACCCCAACTTGGTTGGTGCCCCTCCCCACTCTTCGCAGGTTGTCAAGACATGCTGATCGGGCACCCGAATCGTTTCATGTTGGCGCACAACAATAGTGTCCAACATTGGGCGCCCACCTCAATCAGCGTGATGAATCGAGGTGAGGGGTGGACACGTGTTTTTGCGACGAAACTTGATAATCTCATCAGTGGCCGTGTGAGCCCATCACAATACGGAGAAATGGGCGGCACATCATCCAACCAACAAAACAATGCATCTAAACGCCGCGTGCTCAACGTGTCTTAAGCCAGGGCTTGGAACATGCAGGGACCCCTAAAAAGATGCTCTACGCTTTTAGGGTCCTTTTGATGGTCCACCCAAAGCTGTAACTTGGCTCCATCAAACCCGGTCCACATGCTGACGGAGGCGCCTCCCAAGGTTGGATTGCCCATGGAACAATGATGCGAAGCACGCAACGCGAGTGTGGGTGGGCATGATGATGATGATGATGATGATGATGATGATGATGATGATGATGATGATGATGATGATGATGATGGAGGAGGAGCAGCAGGAGGAGGAGGAGGAGGAGGAGGAGGAGGGTGTCCCGGTGTCCCAATTGGAAACCCCCCATGCTGAGTTTGACAGCTTGATAAGTACGTTCAGAATTGCTTTGCAAAGTCCTGAGTCTCACTATGCATGACGTTACCATGCTTCAGCTCAAACAAGACAAGCCACTTGCTATATAAACCCCACAGCGCACAGGTTGGCTCATTGCCACGCGCCATGCCAACGGCCTGCCCCCCCCCCCCGGCCCCTGTGGCAGACCAGCCGCGGTGAAAACGAATTCGGGAAAGCCGGCGATTGAATCGCAGCTCCTCGGAAGGGGATTGATCGCGCCGGAAGCGAGACCCGCCTTGCCCCATGGACGGTCGCAGTATTCGAAGAACTAAGACTTGAAACACGAAGGTTGACCCCGGATTCATCAACCCCTGTCTCTTAATATGGGGGTGTCGCTGGTTTTAGTGGGGGTACATGACTTTTGAGAAGACCCCCATACTAGAAAAAACAGGGGTTTATTAATCCGGGGTCAGCACTAAATTGTTAAAAGGTTATTCGGTCAAGCCAAAGAGGACTATAACTGCAGAGCATACAGCTCTTCTTGTTTCGGACTCACAACCAAGTCAAGTGGCTTATACAACCAATGGATTCTGAGGCCTATGTGTACTCAGGGGTCAAGCCTCAGGAGGAAAGAACTCCACGAAACGAAGAAGACTCCCGCGTGAGATAAATCAGGGTCAACATGATCCAACATCGCGAATCCGAACCTTGTACTCAAAAGCGCACAACTGCCAGTCCCCCTCAAATCAGGGGTGCGCAAGCCGAGAAGTGGTCTGCATTGAGGTTGGTTCACAACCAGCGCGAATCCGGGCGAATCCGCCCGAGTCCGCCCACGCGGATCCTTGGGCCAACGGCGCGGGAGATCTCGTTGAAGAGCCGCGGCGGCGCGGTGAAGAAGGTGGTGCCGCTGTCCAGGACGGCCAACGCGTCGGGGGGCCGCCGGCTTGGAGACTCAGCAGACGCGGGCTGGGGGGGCGGGGGCGGGAGGGGGTGGCTGTGCGCACCCCGAATTAAACCTATGGCCTTCCTTGGCCTCGGCATTGGAGTGACGCATGGGCAACCGCCACCCACCACCTCATGAATTATATCATGACGTCACGCTCCGGGCTAGCAAAGGTACGCCGCTCCGAGCGACCCCCACCATACAAATTGTGTGTAGTTGGCCTTGTTCAAGCGAACAAACATGTGGAAAATGGAAGCCCTGCCCAGTGCTTCTTGTTGCCCGCCAAGGACAAATCAACAAGCTGGTTTTGTGCCTCACGTAATGCTTATCCAGCTTGTTGTGACCTGCTAACAAATGGAAGCAACGGCAGTGGAAGGCTGTCCTCTGATGCTTCTTTGTTGAGCCAAAGGCCAAGTAAGTGAACAACATAAGCGTAAAGTGAAATCTCAACCAGCACACTTCTGGATACGTTGCCTCTTTGAAGGAGGATACCTTCGTCACCACCTAATGGTAAAGCTATGTGATCTGGACACATACGGGGAACTGCCCAGTGTGGGCAACTGCCCAGTTACGGGGAATTCATACAGGAGCCAGCCACCTGCAACAGCATCCAAAAGCGGCGCTACAGATTTCATGCGGCTGGAGTTGCGTTTTGACCCAACCCAAAACATCTGCTGGTTGAAAAGGGATCCTTACATTATACACCTGAACATTGCCTTGTAAATGGTGGCTTCCCTTTATTTTGGTGGAAGAAGCCATGTTTCAAATGGGCAAACTGTATACTTTTGAGGAGCCTTGTTGAAGCGGCACACGTCCCACCAAAAGGAACGCACGTCCAGGGTCCAGCAGAAGCCAAGGCGCATCCTCGGGCAGCTGCGACAGGGGGCCGTCGGAGGGGCGCTTCACGTAGGGCAGCAGCAGCGGCAGCAGGTCCTGGACGCTGTGGAGGCCCAGGCGGAAGCCCAGCAGCGAAATGGACCAGAACTTCTCCTAGCACTTTGAGCCCATGGCAAGACGCATCTTGAACAGCCATGCAGTCAACTCACTTCTGGCGGTCAAAGGCAAGATGCTGAACCAAACTCCTGGCTAAACAACATGTTAAACTGTTGAAGCACATTTTTTTAAATAACCAGTGTGGTCGTGCGGTCAGGAAATCAAAAGCAAGGGGGGGCAAGAGCAAGGCGGGTGTGTGTGTGCTTTTGGGTAAACTAGCGATATGGGTCCACTGGTCTGAACATCCCAAACTGACAACCTGAAAGCGCCGCAGTGCAGCATGGTCGCCCACTCATGCGCGCAGTCTGCGCGAACCAAACCATGCTTGCTTGGGTTTCTTTGAAACACACGTGCAGCATGTCTTCACCGTCTTTACCTTCTGCGTAGATTGTTATACAACCATTCACCCCATAATGCGTACTCTATGCTAGGAGTTGATGTTAGACCTGTTCACCCGGCAAGTAGGGACTGTACTAGGAAGAGAGCAAGCCGACAGTGTGCGTCTTTTGCCAGCCAACTATCCCCGCAGTTTGACCCTTTACCTGCCTCTGCTCAGCAACCCAAAGGGCAACAAACATCCAAACACCGCCAGAGGCGCTGCTTCACACTTTGGCAATCCAACCACATGAGGTTGGTTGGGGATTCTATGCTAATCCAGAAGCAGGAAAAACAACAAGCCAACCAACCAAAACCACGGCGTCCAGCCATGATCAATCGGCGCCTCCGCGACGGGGAACCAGCGCATGGGACCCTGGTGCAGACGCAAGTGCTCGGTTTTGCCCCAAAGCAAAGCACCGCCCTTGGTGAAGTCCGGGTGCAGAAAGAAGGCAAACTCTGGATGCGGCAGCGCCTGCCTCGCAACGCTCCGCTTCAAGCTGGCCACAGGTGTGTCGAGTTTACGCGTGTATCGGTCTGTGTAGATATACTAAAAAGCGAAGAGCAAGCCGTTAAACTAACGAACTAGACATGATCGTGTTATATATATATATATAGATAGACAGATAGATAGATATAATTATATGTATACAAATATGTGCTCCACACACTCCACACGCTCACTATGGATACACACATGTGTATCCATACATCAAGCCTAAGAACCTCTTCAAATGGTTGGTGTCAGGTTGGCATCCCTTTCAGAGTTGACACAATTTCATGCGGACTACTCCAACAGGCTATCCCTTAAAAGGGTCCGCAATCTTAAGCCATATGCAAATCGACCCACTTTGTCTTGGAAACAGCCGACATGTTTAGTACACACCCACACCACCAAACTGTGAATAAGAGATATGCCCAAACTGGGAAAACCTCCCTTTAAAACCAGGGGGAAAATCGACCATATCCTGCAGCGGAGGAGCAACAAGGGGAAAAAACATATTCCATCCTCCATCCCTTAGATCCACAAAAGCAGCACTGGAGCTGAGGCGCTCTTCCAGCGTATCCAGCAGCGGCCTGGTCTTCACCGCCAGGTCCCGGAAGCCAAGGCCCACGATGCCGTCGATGGGCATCCAGGTGAAGGCCTCCCCGTACTCCTGCCAGGAAAAAACCAAATTCCAATTGTTGGGTTGCAGGAAGTTCTGCAGGAAAGCAGCTGGTTCAGGGATTCAAAGAGTTGGGTTACAGGGAAAAATATGCAGGAAAAAAATGCCGAACCCTTTGACACATGTATTTAGGGGCTTAAATAATTAAACTTCTTGTGGCTTCCGAATGTCGGGGAACAAAACTATAAACGAGAAACACAGAAGGGGAGAGGGCGAGACATCTCCTGAACACCCGACTAAAACGGAGAAGCTGCGGAAGTGGTGTTTGCTGTATAACATCTCTACTCCAGCTGAGGAAAAGCATGTGTTTTGGCGAGTACTTGCCTAGATGTTCCTTTGTACGTTGAAAGGAATCCTCTCCAAATGGCAAAAGGGTGCCACTGGCACTGGGCACCTATAAGAAGAAACGACAAGTTGTCTCAAACGAACTATCCTGGGGCACGGGAACCAGCTCAACCAGCTGAACAAGTTGGGAAAAGGATCACGCCACTGGACATGGATGTAGTTCCTGTTTGTACAGTTTTAGCGTGTCCCGGCAATTTCCAAATTAACGTGCCTGAAATTCGGTGTCGGTACCTTCATGGGTGAAAGCGCTCGTTACATCCCTATGCAAAAGCCCAAGCTGAACCGCGCAGCGCTCCTGCGAGATCAGGCCCAGCGTCTGCTGCTTCACCACGACAGGGCCAAGCCAAACATCGTCCGTGCCCAAGACCCCTGTGATGCTGCCCGAGGCGTACTCCGTCTGGAAGCCTGGCAGTAAAGCCAAGCCAAGAACATCGGGGATGCCCTTGCTTGGCGAAAAACACATGTATTGTGTAGTGTACATGCGCACTGTATTGTATATATATATATACATATGTATATATGTGTATATATTAATATATATATATATATATATTCACAATACCTGTGATCCCGACAACTGGGCTGCGTATTGTGTTTATGACCATCCTATGGTTTTATGCATGGGTTGCGTGGCACGCAGTCCGAAACCCACTTCCGGCCATTCGTCAAAGAGTTGCATTTGGACGCCCGGAAGGGGCACAACATGATTTGACGTTGACCCCATATTAAATAATCAAACCCAGATTATTATATAATAAGGGGGGTGTCCCTGGGATTAGTGCTATGTATAAACTGGGGTTGATTAATATGGGGTCAACGTTACCAAATGTCCTGACAACATTGCATTGTGACAGTTTGGCTTTCCAACCCTCAAACTGGAAGTTCAAGACGCTCCAAAATTCAATGGCACCAGATTGGGTCGGAAGGAAGGAATCCCTTGGAGTGTTTCATAATGTGGGACTCCAAGCAATGGATTACAGGAAGGGACTCTTCCAAGTTGGCGTATGCCGACCAAACTACGGTCCGTACCCAGATCTTCCCCATGGATCTTCACTGCTGGGTCTTTTCCAACACTGAGGGAATCACCGCGCGGCGTTTTTCCGAGCAAGGGTCGCTGCCCGGTCAAGGCACTTTCCACCCATTTAAGAACACACTGCTGACCATCACGTTGTGAGAGTCATAGACACATGCTTGGCCCCATGACATCCGTTGGGCCCAAGCGTCGACAAACGTGATGGAAAAGTGGCAAGCACCACCATCGAACTAAACACGTGCCTGCAAACAAGTCAAAGATTCTGTGCCGGAGTCGATTTGCTTCTCGGCCAAAAGGACTCCTACGCATTCAGGATTCCAGCACCCATAGTCATAGGGAAAACGAGAAAACATCGGCACGCCAAGTTTTGGCCCTCTGGATCATTAATGGAACAACAGCGACGCACCGGCGGACAGACCAGCCTTCCGGTTTGTTCGCCTGCTCGTAGGTCTTCGAGGAAGAGCGATTGAAGCGGTGCCCTGATCGGTTCACGACCAGATTGGGATGTCGGTTGTGGGTTTGGAGTGAGGGACTTTGCAGGGGAAGCTTCCCAATCACGGCACCCCCCAAGCGAAAGCCCGAGGACTCTTCTCAAACTCCTAGATCCCCAAGGCTCTTCTCAACGTCCAAAGAGGGTACTTGGGGTGTACCTCAAAGCTGGCTTATGCCAGCAATCCCCGAAGACTTTGGAAACGCGAGGAAAGTGCACACCGACCACAGGCCACATGAAACGAGGGCACAGCCAGGGGCTGGTTGGCGAATTGCGGAACTCAGTGGCTTGGAATCGGCATGTGCAATACCAGACTTTCTGATTCCATGAACGTAAATAGCTTCGAAAAGGTGGTCCAGCCAAACCTAGTACGTCTCCATGTTTCAGCAAAATGCGTCATTGACCCTCGGTGCTTGGTCGCAGTAAGACTCTCAAACCTGGTGATGTTTGCTAAGAACCCTAATACAGCTCCAGCAATCCGAGTCCTAGCTTGTAGCATGTGACGAGCGCTCCAAAACCTTTCGTCAAACCCTATTTGAAGACAGCCAAATCTTGCCGCATCTGGCCCCGGCACGAAATCTGGCTCGATGATTTCACCGTTCTCATGCTGTCATCCCCAAGAGATGTGTTCAAAGGAATGCTGGCTTTTGAGTACCCACCTACTCCCGGACAACATCCACGACATGCCTATCAAAAGAGCGGGCACAGCGGCATCTAATGTCATGCAGGCATTTGTTGGATCAGCTGGCTGCTGCCGCCGCCGCCGCCGCTGCTGCTGCTGCTGTGCTTGTTGGCGGCGTGTAGCAATTGCCAAACGGATGCACACTCTGCCTGAAAGTGACCAAGAGTTCTTCCAGAGTGATACAAATCCACAATGAAGATTGATGATACAAAGATACAATGATAAAGAATAATAACATTCAACCATTTGGAAGCTGCTCCTTCCATGATTTTATCATGTCCCATGCAGAATATTATGTATCGCATGTATCTGTTCAATTCATATCTGTTGGTTACCAATCGTCAAGGTGTATCTCTTATGAAATGCATATCCCATCTTTGGGTTGTCTTATCTATGGTTGCGTTCGTATCCGATCCCATTCCATGATTATTAATTAGCTGCAAGAATGGAGCTCGGGCTGGGACAGCAGAGTGATGACATGAGATCTCTCTTCTCTATGGGTTGGATGTGTGGCGTCCATGGTCCGTTACAATATTGACAAAAGGCAGCATATATCTGCACATCATGACATACGCGGCTCCTGGCAACAGCGAAAGGGCCAAAATGGCCGCTTGCATGGTTTGTTGCAGTACGCATGATTGAATTATCAAGTTTGTGTTTTCTTCTCTTTAGGAAGCATCTCCAACCATTCCCTTCGTCACCCCGGTAGGATCCACCCACATTAGCAAAAATGCCGAGTGCCTGTTTCCTGCCTCCCACTTGGAGCTATGAATGGAATAGAGGCAACCCCAAGCAAGACTGGAATCACAGGTGATCTTGCTCGTTTTGCACTGAACCGACGAGTTCCCTGCCATTCGCGACTTCTGGCAGGGCGCGGTCGTCCATGGAGCAGGGGCCATAGGTGCAGAGGTCCGAGTTCACCCAGAGGTCTGCGCTGCCGGTGTCGTAGATCACCCGCAGCTGCGCAGCCGGGCAACGCCCTTGCGCTTCATCGGAGATTTACGCAACAAGTCTGAGTACCATCGGGAGATTTGCAAAAACCCAACTCACATCCCACCTCTTGTCCACAGGTGCAACCCCTGTTCAAGGCGTGGGAGCAGCCAACTAGGGGTGTAAGCAGGAGCAGCCAACTAGGGGTGTAAGTAGGAGCAGTCAACGGCAAGGAAAGAAGTTCTGCGGCCAAATCTCCACGAAATCCTTCAGGATATTTTTGATTGGCAGATTCCAAACACACGCGGGTGTACGAACACAAAGAGACAACATCTAGAACAGAACCATGGATCATCCGCCACAAGAAGTCGCAAATGTGTACAAATGTATACACGATGGTTCCAGCAAATTTAAGCAGGTTTCATCATGCTAGCATCTTGCAACCCCTGCCCTCATTGGCTATGAGGTGCTATGAGTACTAAACAAAAGGTTCCACAACCTCCAAACCCTAGTTTTTCTTCTGAGAAGTGCCGTCTAAAGGGAAGGCACGCCTGAGCTTCCAGGTAGCTGAGTCCTTCACATATTTCTGCCTTTTTGACTTGCGAATATTCAATTGTCCACCAACCACTATCACACCTCCCCCCCAATGCCGTTTTCAGGCGGGATGGTTTCAGGTATGAGAACTGGAGGGATGGAGATGTATTCATCACCAATGCAGGTAACGGGCCTTTGAATTGGAAAGAAATCGTCCGTAATGTAAACAGACAGTCTTCACTTTCCAGAGACGCCTTGGATAAACGG